AAATTCTTTCCTTTACAATTTATTAATTTATGATTTCAATTTTTTTCCAAAAAAAAAAAGAAATTCAAATATCACATTTCTGTTATTACTATTGAAAAAAAAAAGAGTAAATGAAAAAGAAAAAAGTAGGGAAAGAGGAAGAGAAAGGAAGTTGGAGAGAAAAAATTTCATTTTTGATATTTTTAATTGAATGTTTAAAGTTACCTCAAAAATATCAATGAAATTATACCTCAAATAAAACGCAAAAAGTAAAAATGCGATAGAGCGACAAGCAATTGCTGTTGTCCCTCGTTTGCTTGATTATAAATTAAAAACCCTTTGTGATGGGTTGGATACATTAACAATTTTCTAACAATTCAATTGGTATCCTGTTATTTTTTCATTTTTTTTTTTTTTCTCTTTTTCATTCTATTTTTCTTTTTTTATTGATTTCTTTTTTTTGTATGTATGTTTTTTTGTTTGCTTAGTTTAGCATTGCTATTGTATAACAAAATGGTATTGTTATTGTTGCTTATCAAACAATTATGATAAGTTGCATTGTTGATTTTGTTTGTCAAATATATTTTTATTGTTGAAATTACTATTGTTGTTATTGTTACCATCATTATTGCTGTTTTTATTGTTATCATAGCAATTACTATCTTAATGTAATAATATCTAATAATGATAAGCAATACTGTTTATTTTGTTGCTAACCATTTTTCATATTATCACCGTTATTATTACTGTTGTTGTTGCTGTTATTGATATTATCATTATTATTTATTATTATTCTTTTTCCTATCATTACATTATTATCATCATTTATTACCGTTATTATTCTTACTGTTATTACTATTTATTATTATTATTGTTGTTATTTATTATAGCTATTATTTATTATTATTATTATTATCATTATCATTGCCATTATTATTATTGTTATTTTAACAACTATTACAAAATAAGAGTATTAGTAATGGTTGTTGTAAACAGATAAAAATGGATATTTCCTTATGAATCAAAAAAAAAAAAAAATTCTAGTTCCACATTTTAGCTATTAATTTTAATATTATATTTATTTACCATATGCATTCTTCATATTAATTATTGTCTTCATATCAGCAATTTATCACTTTCCTATTTTATCAATTATTTGTTTATCCCCAACCTTTTTTTTCATTTCCTTTTGATTGATAAGGGTAAAAATTGTTTTGAAATGTACCATATATTATTAATATAATGCAATGAAAGTTTCGTATATTAGCAAATTCTCACCTCAATTATTTTATTTCAATTATGATAGAGGGAGTGAAGTGGAAAAAAAAAAGAGGAAAGGAAATAAAACTTCATAACTTCATTATGATCGAAACAGAAATAGTCAAAGGGAATGAATTTAATGGAGAATTTAAAAAGCATTTGGGAATTGCTCGATGTGAAGCAGCAAAAATTGTTAGTAAAAAGAGAAACAAAAAAAAAAAAAAAAAATGAAAAGAAAGAGAAAAAAAAATAAAATAAAAATAAAGCCTTCTTAGAATAACTATTCGTATTTGGAAATTTTGCTAAGTCTTTCGAAAAAATTTTTTTTTCTTCTCTTTCTTTTCTTTTTCTATTTGCTTTGGTAAATTCCTTTAATTTATGTTTTGATCGATACGAAATTTTTTTTTTTTTTTGTTTCCTTTTTCGTTCAAAAAAAAAAAAAAGAAAATATTATTTCATTTCGTATTTAATGCTTTCTTTCCTTTTCCTTTTTTTTTTTTTTTTTGCAAGAAAAAGAAAGAAAGGAAAGAAAAAATGAATTCTTATTAAGAATTCAAAAATTTTTGGTGCAATTTAATAAGAATTGTTGATTATGAACAATATATTACAAAAATAAAATATTATAAAGAAATTTGCTCAATACAAATTTACAGATCGATATAATATTTAGCTGATGGTTTAGTTTGATAATTTGAAATCTTTCTTACTTGGCTCATTTCCTATTATTTTCTTTAGATGTTAATTAGTCAGTACTTTAATCATTCATTTATTCGTTAAATGAGAGTCGGATTTCACTTTTTTTTTTCTTTTTTTTTTTTGCATATATATCAAATATACATAATCAATATTTTTTTACGTAATTGAATAATTATTAAAAATTATTGGAGAAAAAATAATCAGTTATTTTTGATTCTTTATCATACTAATATTGATATTTAATTAGAATTGTTCCATATTTTTGAAATTTCTGCTATATTTTTGGCAAAACAATTGCTGTATTTGATTTGAAAATTTTGATTTCCATTTGAATTTATTTAATTTTGCTACTAAGAAAAATGTGGTAATCAAAGACATTAAATCTATTTTTGTTTACCTTTGAAGGATTCATTATCTTCTCAATCAGTAATAATTTAAGTGAAGTATTAAATTGAGAATTAGTAATTCGAATTTATTGATTAACTCATTCTGAGATAATTTGAAATTTCGTATAAAATGAAATTAAGGATGAAAGATTAAAGCTATTAAATTTGTTTAAAAAATTAAACATTAGCAATGATTAATGAAATGATTTTTGAAACTTTAACAAGCCAACATGCTATTTCTATTGAATAATCAGTGTTTTAGAAGAATATTTGATAATAATGATAAAAACATAGAAAAAATAATGTAGTAGTAATAATAATGATAATAATAACAAGCAGTCATAGTGAAGAAAAAGATGATGATTATTATCACAGTGATAATAACGGTTATATCATTTTTGTAATTTAGTTGATATTTTAGATCAAAGTTTTGCTAATTTATATTGTTTATTTTTTAATTTTAATATTAAATGATGAGAAGACAACATATTTTCATATATATTAAGAATAAAATAGAAAGCAAAAAGCTGAGGAAGATTTTTCGAATTAAATAAAAAATAAAAGGAAATTTTATTGTCATATTATTCCTTATGATATAACCACCCTATATTTTAAATTAATTTTTTTTTTCCTCCTTTTTCCGTCTTACTCTTCTACAGCTGAATATTGACCAAAAAAATGATAAATTAATAAAATTATACCTTCCTCTTCGTTCTTCTTCAAATAAAATGCAATGTTAATGGTAGTAAAAATAATAATTCTGATAATTAATTCTAAAATATTTGCAAAACGACGTGTTAGCAATAAGACGACCAATAATTAATAGTGAAAATAATAATCTCGTTAATGATTAGCTTATAATAAAAATGATAATGATAATATTTGTAGTAATAATAAATTTGGAGAGATAATAATAATAGAGATAATGATAATAATAGGAAGAATAATAATAATAGAAGGATAATATAAATTAATAATAAACTTTAGAATGATAATAATAAGTTGATTAAATCAAAAGATTTAAGAGCAGTAATGATAAAACTATTAAGAAACAAAAATAATATAAATAATAAAATTATTAGCAAATGTGAATAATAGTTAATGATAACAATTAATAATGATAATGATAATGATACTAATAATAATATCATAATAGTAATAATAATTATTTTTAATTAATAATAATGAAAAGAATAGTAGTAAATCAAAAGATGTTAAAAATGATAGGTTTTATTATAAAATATGTATTGAAGGAAAGACATAAGTTATTATCTTACTTCATTTAATGTATTAAAGAAAGAAAAAATCATAGGCATTTCTTGCATACTTTATCGAATATTACATACCATATGCATACCAAATGTCATTTTTTAAATTTACGACAAAAAAAAAAATAAATAAATAAATAAAATGAAAGGAAAGGAAAGAATGAGCAAATTAATAAATAAATAGAAATATATAAATATTGAATTGGTATGGCATTCCTTCAATAATTTCAACAATAACTTAAGAAGAAATTCTTAACATAATAAAATTTAAAATGAGGAAGAGTTAATATACAAACATAAAAAAAACTAAAGTGTAAAAAAAAAAGAAAAGATGTTCTTTTCTTTTTTAAATTTCCCACTAATCTATAGCAAATGTAATCCATCAATTGTTAATTTAACAAATGCTAAAGTGTTATAGTACAAAAAATTTGTTATGTATTAGGCGATTATAAATCAAAAAAATTTCATATTTATAATTTAAAAAAATTAAATAATGAAATCTTTATTATGAAAGTTAGTTATTGTGAATAAGTGATATTAATTAATGATGATGATAATTAATCAGTAATATTGATTTCTTTTTTTTTTTTTGGTTGTAGTAATTATTGACATTAATTTAATTTTAAAAATCGATTCCACTTTTGTTTTTTATTTTATTTCAATTTTTGTATTAATTATTTTTTCTCTCTATTTTGTTTTGTTTTAATTTATATTTTGTAAAAAAAAAAAAAACAAAACAAAACTAATTTATATTATTTGCATATATATCAAACAATGCACACTTCAATTAAGTGCATTTTCTATACATTAATATTTAAATTTTCATTAAATTTTTTTGAACAATAACCTTTTTTTCTTTTTTGATTGCATTGCATATCAGCGAATCATCTTTTTTCAAATCTTATTTAAATAATTTTGAAAAAAAAATTTTTTTTAAAGCTTTGCTTAAAACTCTAATTCAATTATTGATCATTTTAAAAAGTACCAAATGTTTATATAACATTCATCCTTTCGTTATCAATGTCTTTTATTTCTTTAATAAAAGCACAAAAAATAAAATAAATAAAAAGTTTAAAGAAATTGTTTTTTTTTTCTTTTTTTTTTTAAAGAGAATTTGCGGAAATTTTTTGAGGAAATATCATTCGAAAAAGTTAATGAAATTAAATCGAATTTACAAAAAAGCAATCTTTAGATGAATCAATTTTATACACTTTGGTACTTATTGCAACTTTATTTATACGTACATATTTTTGTAAGACATCACGCAAAAGAATTGTAATTGTTTACGTAAAAGACGTGAACTGATAAATCGCGTATGATTATCACACACTAATATATGCATAAATTGCCTTTGTACTTATGATAAAGTCAAGAAAAAAAAGGATCAGCCATTCAAAACCTATACTATAATTTAGTTTAAAATTAAAATTATTGACGTGAAATGGAATAAACAATTATAAGTTAAAAGTTTAAGTTTTTCATTTTTCGTTTTTAAATATTCTAACCGCCAACTGAAATAATAGGTGGATAATCAATCAAACTGTGGTAAATATCATAAATTAATGAACCATGTGATCAATCATTAATTACAACAGCAAATTGCTTCCTCTCAATTTAGTTGTTATTTTAAAGAGTAATAGGATAAGTAGTAAAAGACTTAAGATTCCCATTTAACATCAATTCATTAAAATTTCAATTTTTTAGCCTAGCCATTTATATTTTGTCATTTTGCTCTTTGCTTTTTTAAAAAAAAAGGTATTTGTTGCAAAAATTAAACAAAAATTTAAGAATCTGTTGATAATTTAACAAATTAATTTCAATCATTTTAGTTACTGATTCGCACTCTTTACATATTTCATTTTACATGTTTGAAAATTTTTTGCAATATTTTCAATTTATCAAATAACTCACTCATTTACCACCACAATTACAATTTAAATAATTAGAAATTTGAAAGAAAAAAAAATGAAATATTTAAATTTAAAATGAATAAGAAAAGCTTGCCATCCTGTACGCCATGGTGGAAGGGTTGTACTTGCCCAATTGCGCTGCCGCCATTGCTTTCGGCGTTGTTGAAGAAGACTGTTTAATTCACTTCGTTCCTATAATTAAATATTTAATTTCATACTCAGTGAGTTTCCACAGAGAAAAAAAAAATAAATAAAAGCGATTATTTCTGATAAAAAAAAAAAGGAAAAAAGATCGTAAAACTAACAATTTTACTTCAATAGACAACAAATAAAATAAAATAAACGAAAAAATTTGACAATTTTTATGTTGAAATTATTTATTTAAATGTCTTTTTTTTTTTATCTTTTGATCTTAAAAGTATGCTATTTTTATAAATTTTAATATTTTTCTGTTTAACTTTTCGAATTTTTTTTTTTTTTAAATTAAGAAAATAAAAGGCAAAAGAAAATATTAGTAATATATGGAATTAAATAATTTTTGTATAAATAAATTTAAAATTATAAAATTTTTACAAAAATCTTAAACAAAAATTAATTTTTTTCATCTCTTTTAAACAATGTTTTTACAAAACTTTGTAAAAGAAAAAAGAAATTTGTTGTAAATAATTCATTATTTTACGTCATTTATAGATTAGAGAATTTTGTTTTTCCTCAAAAAAAAATTTTTTTTCCTTTTTTTTTTTTGAAAGTAGCTATTAAAATCAAAAGGATAAGTGCATTCGCTTAAAGCTTTTTAGATTGTAATAAATGTTTAATGGCTTTTGACTTTCTGAAACTGTTATTTGCTATGAAGGAACTAAAATCAAAATCGAAGCAAAAATTGACGCAAAAAAATGCTTAATTTATGCCAAAAAATTTTTTCAAAAAAAAAAATTCTAAACGAAAAAAAATAAATTTTTGGTTAATCAAATGCGGAAAAATTAAATGCATTTTCAATTAAAATAGAATTTATTTCTAACATTTATTTGTTGAAGTAAATATGTAAGTGTAAATATAATTACGCATTATTTGCTATTTAATAATTTGCTAATAATATTAGAAATAACTTTTTTTTTTTTTTTTGTTGGAAATAAATTTTCAAATTTAATAATTTGCGCAATCTTTAATAATACATCAAAAAATTACGCTTTTTTAGGTAACAAAAGAAATGAAATGAATTGGGCTGTTCAAATTTTTTTATTAAAAAGTAAAAAAAACTAATTATTGATAAAATTATTTTAAAAATTTTAGAAATTAACCATTAATTCTTTTTTCGTACTTTCATCCTCTCGTACAAAACGCATTGTGCTAATAGTAATTGCTTATTTATATAGCTGATGAAATTATTTACAATCTTCTAATTTAATTTATCAATTAATCTGTTGCATTTACACATTTGCCATTTCCTGAAAAAAAAAAAAAAAATCAAAGTATTTTGTTATAATTCGGAAAATGAAGTAAATGCGTTTCGAAAAGTTAAACATAAACATGCTAAAATATTCAAATGCTATATTGAAATTAAGTTTACTGCCCTGATTAAGTAGTATTTGTTAATAAAATTCTATGGCAGCTATAAAGTGCTATTTATTTTTATTTTGAGCTCATAAATTATCCATTAGCAGTTAGTTAGGCAAAAAAAAAAAGGAAGCATTTTGTAAAAAATTGATTTATTTTTTAAAATGATTTCATAGTTAAATTTAATTCTATGAAAATGGCTCAAATTATTGATTTTAAAAAGGAATCATAAATTTTAGCGTATGATTAAATTACTTTTTTAACCTATTTTAATAGGATAAAAAATATTGGCAAATGTTGATGCTACAATGTTATTTAAAAACTTATGAAAAATTCTCACTACATTTTACACCTTTAAACAATTTTCATAAAATATTAATTTTCAAAAATTTTAATTTTACAATATTTCACTTTTTGAGAGAAAGAAAGAAAAAAAAGAAGAAAACAATATAATTAAGCAACAAAAAAAAGAATTTTTTTAAAAAATTTTTTTATAGATTTCAAAAATTTTTCTTTTTATAAAAAATAAAAACAAAAGTTTAAATAAGTGCAATTTTTTTTACATGATATTAACGCTTTTGAATTAATTTGTTGTGTGAAATTAATTAATTTGCTGTGATATTTGGTTAAAATTTTGATTGTCTGAAACTTACATAAAATTTATAATCAAAGTATGTGAAAGTTACCTGTTGCACATCTTTTTTCACAAATATACTTTCTATCATATAAAATTTCTTATTTATTTTTCCATTATAACAAAATGCTTTTCCATTATGCATAATTTTAATTAAGCAAAGAAATTAATTTACAATGAATTATAAAGTAATTTTTTACTCTGTCTTGTTTTGTTTGCTTAATTTTTTCAATTCATTCTTCCTAAAAACAAAATTATTAATTTATACAATTATTTGTGAAGAATGAAAAAATTTATTTGTGACTGATTTGTTGATATTTATACTAAATATTACCTCTTTTTTTCAATTTATTTGGAAAAAAAAAAACTAAAAAAAATTATGAAATAAATATTTATTTATAGATATATTTGCTGTAAACAAAAAATTTAATCGGTAATATTATGCGACCACTTAAAATATGATTGTCAAAACAAGTTTTACGGATTGGTTTAAGCTTGAAAGCATCATTGACAGAATACGACATATTACTCATTTATTTATGACTGATTTGTTGATATTTATACTAAATATTACCTCTTTTTTTTCCCCTCTCTTTTTTATTTTCTCTCTCTCTCTCTCTCTCTCTCTGTCTCTTTCTCTCTCAATGTGCATTAAAATAATAACAGTAAAACAGGTAAGGCAAAGTAATTATGAAGTTTATGATTATTTGAGAAAGAAAATAATTATTTTCTTCTTTTTTTTTACTCTCACTTAAAATATCGAAAAGAGAGAGAGAGAGAGGGAGAGAAAGAAAATGAATATAAGAATTTGTATAGCATATTTTATTTCAATTTTAATTATTATTTAGTCTTTTTTTTTCTTTCTTTCTTTTTTCTTTATGAAATCCAAAAAAAAACAAAAATAAAGAAAAATGAAGGAGGAAAAAAAAACGAAAGAAAATAAACGAAAAACAAATTTTGTTGAGTTAGAAAGAAAGAAAAAAACATGATTAAAAAATAGCAAAAGGAAAGAAAAAAAAAATTGGATATATATAAGGAAGTTTGATCGAAATTTTTGAAAACAAGTGGCTAAGGGAAATTAGCATTCGTTAGGATTTGCTTGGTGCTAAAGATGCCAAAAAGTGACAACAATCTCTATAGATGACGTAAAACTAAAATTGGGTTATTTTAGTAAAGCGAAAACTTGCATTCGTCATCAGTTGACATTAGAAATGTTTAAAATTTCAAGCAATCTTAAATTATGCAATCTTATTTCTGATAAATTTTATAATTTTAAAATTAACCTTCGAAAAAAAAAAACGATTCAAAAATGAAACAAAAAAAAAAAAATGAAATGATTTGAGAATGAAACGGAAAAATTAATGATTATTTATCAATGCTAACTGTACTTATCATTTTTTTTCTTTTATTTGAACTGTTATAATTGCAAACAAATAATAAATGATAAAGTGAAATTTAAAGAAAAAAAAAAATGCAAGAAAGATAAAATAAAAGATAAATTCTTACCGTAAGAAACATGAAAATGATTAATGAGAAATAAGAAAATGTAAAATGGTTTGATTAAGTAAGTAAGTAAGTTATTTAATAAGTAGGCAGGCAGAAAATTTTGCTATTTCAATTTATACATTCTCTCTCGCTTTTTTTTTTTTAAAAATTTAAAGTTTGTTAATTGATTAATTCTTGTTGAAAAAAATATGTAATCTTCATTTTATAATAATCAGAAATTTTTTTTTCTGTTAATGTAAGCTCTAATAAAACAAATATTTCATTATGTACTTTTGAAAAATTCAGCATTAAAATTAGCTTTAGCTTATAGTTCTATGATAAAATAAAATTTCAGAATAAAAAATTTGCGTGTGAAAGTTTTTATTAAATATAAATGGTTTTTCTTTTTTCTGATAAATTTTTATGGTATGAAAGAAAAATTCTTTTTGATACTTTTTTTTTTTTTGTCATTTAATGTTTGAATTTGATTTTTCAAAAAAATTACAAAACCATTTTTCTTTTTCATTTGTTAATGGAAAAATTTTTTTTTCCCAATTTGAATAATTTTTGAAGTATTGCTAAATTATCCTTTCTTTTTTCAATACATTGTATTTAATCACTCATAAATTTAAATTTAACTATATAGTGGAAAAGATTAAAATTAAATATTAAACTAAATTTAAATATTAAGCTAATTTGTATTTAACTGACAATGCAAAAAAAAAAAAATGAAAATGAATTTTAACTCTTTTTTTTGATTTTTTTTTTTACTTTTTTGATGAAAATCTGAATAAAATATTGTGGAATTTTTTTGTTCATTTTAAGTATAAATGAAATATTTGTAATTGGTATATAGATTAATACCAAATAGAATCGAAATAAACGAAATGGAAAAAATGAAAAAGAATGTCAAAATATGATTAATTGCATTTCATGTCTTCTTATTTCTCTTTTAAACTATTTAGAAAAACAATAAAAAATTTCATGGAAAGTTTACAATTTCAAATAGAGTTCTCATTTTGTTATTTTGCATTTGCTTAATTAAATGGATCAAATCATTTCAATTGAATTGCTTATTTAAATTAACTAAATGGTTTCAATCAAACTATTTGAAAATATATTTGTGTAATTCGATGGATTAAACGAATTGTTAAATAATTTTAGATTTGAAATTGAAATGATATTGTATCACTAATATATTACTAATAAAGAAAAATTGACAATAATTTTATTATTATTAATTTTATTCTTTTTACAAAATTTATGTGAATGAAAAGCAAAAATGCAAGAATATTTCGAATATAATTTGATTAATCTTTTATATTATCATCAATTGATAACAAATAGTTGAAGATAACCTATTGATGTACAATAAATATAATATTTTGAATCATTTCAGCCAATTAAGAAAAGAAAAGAAAATGGAACTGAAAAATTTAATTGTTACAGGAAATTAGATTATTTTAATTACATGTATTCTGATAAAACTGCAACTAATTTCGATTATTTGGAATTAATTATAACTTAATAAGATGTCTAACTGAAAAAAAAACCTAATTTTCTATAACAAAAATTTTCAACAAATTTATATTTATTAACTGCGATACAATTTTTTATTATATATTTAACTAAAATTTTCCAACCTTTAAAAAGTTTTATTTGCATGTGTAAAGAATGCTATGAAATGAATTGAAAAACAGAAAAATGCAATTTAATAAAATTATTCGCAATAAAAATAATTTTTTAAAAAAATAAATTTCAATGCAATATATAAAAAATAATGATGAATAATAATAATTTAGAGTTAATTTCGTTAGATTATATTATTACGATTAAAATTGCTTGAATTTATTTATACATAAAACAATCATTTTTTTTTTTGTTTTCTCTTTTTCTCCTTTTTTTCTTTCAATTTTCGTTTATTCCTAACTTAAACATTTTTACTTTATAAACTTTAAATAATTGATGGTTGTAATAATACTTACTTATACTGCTGTAACAATACAAATTAAAGAATTGTGAAATTAAACATTTGATAAATGTTTAATTTATCAATAATTCATACTAAAATTATAACAATAATTAATAACTAAAAATGAACTTTAAAAAACTTTAAATTTAAAATGAACTTTAAATATTAAAAAACATGTAATTTGTTCATTTTTTTGTATACAAAAGATAATTAATTTAAAAAAAAAATTTCATTTTACATTTATTTTTACTTCAAATTAAAAAGCAATAAATTATATAATAATCTGAATGTAAGCAACTATTCACAACTATTTTTTATGTATGTATTGAATTAATAAAACTATTAGACAAATAATAGAAAAATTTTCAGTATTCGGTAAAAAATAATAAATGTTAATGTGAGGAGAAGAACGAGGTGATAACGTTTTTTTGTTGAAAATGATATAATATTGGGATTTTATCATTACTAAATGATAATTTAGTAATTTTTTTTAACATCTAAGTACTTAGGTGCATTTCATCTCAACTATTGAAGCATTTATATTTATATATTAAATTCATATTATCATCAGATTATTCATTGAATTTTAGAGATTTATCTATATAATATAAAATATCATTAATGATTGTATTATAATTTAAGATAATTTCTATTAAAATTATCGCTAATAAATTTTGAAATAGAAAGAATTACAAAAT